AGGAGGAGGAGGAGGAGGAGGAGGAGGAGGGGGAGGGCAGCGCCATGACTCACTTGCAGGCAGGTCTCTCCCCGGAGACTCTGGAGAAAGCCCGGTTGGAGCTGAACGAGAACCCCGACACCTTGCACCAGGACATCCAGGAGGTGCGGGACATGGTGATCACCCGGCCCGACATCGGCTTCCTCCGCACCGACGATGCCTTCATCCTGCGGTTCCTGCGGGCGAGGAAGTTTCAGCACTTCGAGGCGTTTCGCCTCCTGGCCCAGTACTTTGAATATCGCCAGCAGAACCTGGACATGTTCAAGAGCTTCAAGGCCACGGACCCGGGCATCAAGCAGGCGCTGAAGGATGGCTTCCCCGGCGGGCTGGCCAACCTGGACCACTACGGCAGGAAGATCCTCGTCCTTTTTGCTGCCAACTGGGACCAGAGCAGGTAAATGCGGAGCCACCTGCCCGCCTTAATCCCTTCTTTACGTGGGAAAAGCTACGGCAGAGCAGAGGACGGGGTGGGCGGCAGGGGCACGCCGGGCTCTGCCCACCCGGCCTGGAGGGCAGAGGGAGAAGAGGAAGAAGTAACGTGTTTTGTGGCTTAGGGCCTTTTCGACCTCCTCATCGTTTAGGCTCTGAATTTCGGGAGGGAAGCAGGAGCTGCTCGGGTGCTCTTCTCGGCTGGCTGATACGAGGTTTACGCGCTTCTGCCTCCCCTTAGCCGAAGTGAGCTGGCGTGGTAGATGATGTGCTTGCCCCCCCGACCCCCCCGACAAAGGCTGGTTGCAATGTCTGTGCCGGTCTTTCTGCTTCAGCGCACGCAGAGTTGCTCAGGTGCCATAGGAGAAAGTGGGAGATGCTGTGTGCAAAACAGGAGTGCCCGTCAGGGCTGTTGAGCTGAAAAGTTTGCCTGTGCAGGAAGCTACGGCTCCGAATCCTTTCCCTCAGCTAAAGCAAGCTCTTCCTGAGCCACCTGCAAATGCCAGGATGGAAGTTACAGTAACCGCTTCTTTTCCCCACTCACACTGCTCTAAGTGTGAATTCCCTGCATAATAAGATCCAAGCGCACAAAGCTTTGGTAGCAAATTGCAGGAGGCTAGTGCCGTCCCTAGAACAACCTCTGATCCTTTTTGGGGCTAGTCTAGCCTGAGGATGACTTAGCAGGCTGACCCAAGAGCTGTCTCCCATCAAGGCCCTTTCTTTTAGCGATCGGCTTGATACTGTGTGACACTATTTGATTATTCTAAATACCTCACTGGGTGTCATGCCCAGTTTCTCCTGCAGTCTAAAATTACATCCACAACAACCGCTCGATTTTCAGTACATGTAAATGAATGAATCCATGAAGAGTGAACTCTAAAGCCTATTCCTGTGAGCACTGCAGCGTTTCCCGGGGCTCCCAACCTGAGAGCAGGTTTAGGGTCTGAAGCACTTGTTAGTGAGAAAACTTCAAATCCTGCTAGCTGCCTTCACGTGAACCCAAACCGTCCTTGTGCAGTCAGCGCGGGCTGGGCGCAGGCGGCGCTGAGCGCCCGGCGCAGATATCCCAAGCTCAGCTCTTTGAAAACACGAGGAGGGCACGGACAGCTAGCAGGGTGGTCAGAAAGGACAAAATTTGGGGAGCTGGCGTACTTGAGCCTGCCCTTCGAGTGTTTGGGTAGCTGTCCTCTCGCCGGCTGCGTCAACAGCCGTTGCAGGGAGCGTTCCCACGGCTCCCTGCAGCAGTCGGTGTTACGGCGAGGGACGGGTCTCTGCGCGGGGGGCCGCTGGCCCACCGTGGCTTTCCTCCTCTCCAGACAGGGTGCCCACATCCACACCTCCTACGGGGAGAGCCTCCCGGCCCGTGCTAGCCATTGAGTCACGCCCAGAGACTGGGAGAAAGCTGTCTGGCACAAATCAAAACTGCCCACGACCAGGCTAACAACTGGAAAGTGTGGATGAACGTACGCGGAGCTGGGGCCGGCGTCCTTCTGCTGCTCTGCTTTTCTGGCAGACGGAGCAAAAGAAGCTGAGTGAGGAAGCAGTGATGATGAGGCTAAGGACTCTCTGAGTGGGCTTCGTTTCCCACATGTGGATTTTCCTTATTTCCCACATAAGGACCAGGTCAACTTTTTATTTTAAAAACACCTCCCCAAACTCTTAAAGATGCCTGAATGAGGAACTAGCAAAGAAATGGATATTTAGGCCTTTTATTAACTCATACATCTACCATGAAGAAGTTCCCTTGTTAGAGGTAGTGTGGCCTACTCTATACTGTTATTTCTCATTAAAAAAAACAACCAAACAACCCAAAGCTTTATGTGACACTTTCCAGATCATTAGTTCCCAGTTAAAAGAACATCAAGAATTTGAATTTGGAGATAAAGTAGCATTTAAAAAAATAATTGCCATGTGAAAAGAGTAAGTTTATTTTCTTCTTAATTTTGGATGTGCTGATATTTAAACTACATGAGATCAGCTGACACAACAGCAAATTTCTATGATCTTTTTCGCGAAGTCCTGTCAGTAAAATCATTATTTATGATATAATAGGGCAGTGACTGGGGTACACAGGGGTGCCTAATGGCCACGTTTGCAGTCGGGTCCCTATCGCTCTTCAGCGCTGCCCGCCCACGGTACGCCTCTCCTCCGGAGCGAGGGATTTTTTTTTCAGATAGACCACTCAGACAAAGGGGAGAGAGCTGGAGCCCAGCTGCGGGGAGTGGCTTGCTCCAAGGCACATGACAAGTCAGTGACAGATGTGGGAATGGAGCTGGGTCACTCTCTTTCCTAATTAAATTGACTGTCTTCCATTATCTGATGTTCAGCCACTGAACCCGGGGAGCATCGTGTATGGAACGTATACTAGAGCTGCTACGCAGTTATGTCTCAAGCTTATGCCTTAACGGACTTGAGATCTTGCAGTGCGTAAACCAGTGCTCCTCTTACAGCAACACTAGGATTACTTTTTGTAGTCTGTCTTGTCAGGACCTCTTTGTAGGTTTCATGAACTAAGTTAACAGAGCACAGCAAGCCTGCAAATTTATCACATGTGTACAACTTATTATGGCCAGCAGGTAACAACTAGAATTACAAAGTTCCAATTTGTTATTTAAATGAATAGCAGACATACTATAGATGATTTATATAGCACCAGCAGCCTACGATTTACATAGTTCCAATTAGAAGGAAAAGCGTGGAAGGCAGAAAATTCCTATGGTAGAACAAGCCTGTGTACTTGATGTTAAATCATTAAATTAAAGCAGGGCCTGAAAACTGTACCAGATGTCCTACCATCTGAACAACTAAATCAGACATGTATTTAAAACAAACAAACAAAAAAAGGAAAGGTGAGGGATAATGCACTGAGTAGCCCAGCAGCTTTTCAATGGGACGCTGCCTAACTCTCCGTCCTGTCTCTACTCGGGGGAAGCGCAGACGGGTGGCATTCCTGCCAGGAGGCTGGATAGTGCCGGGGAGGGATCAGCCTTCCCTGTTAGCTTCCAGATTGTTGATTCATAACTACATTTGGCTTGTAGGTGTGTACGTGCATTTGAAGGCTCCCTTTTTCTTAATGTGTCCAGCTGGTGAAGTTTTTCTTTTTTCAGTTAGTGGTACAGTTAACTTCAGCTCTCAGTGGCAAGGGATCTGTTGTCATGCATGTTCTTCTGTATGCTTCGTGGCACCTGCACACAAATGCCCTGGGAAAGTCAGTCCATTTTGATGCTATTTACCTGAAATCTTTCCCGGTATTAATTGTCTCAGAATTTTTCCTAGAAAGTGCAACAGAAAAGTGCAGTAGGAGAGCGCGGTGATTCCTAGTTCCTGGCTGTGTCACAGTGACCCAGTCAGCTCACACCATCCTCGGTGAATATGGAAATCCGCTGCACTCATTGCCATTCGCTCTGTTGTTGCATCAGATGATTTACAGCAGGGCAAAGATGGAGTCCACTGGTTTGCTTTCAAAACTATGCTTTCATGTGCAGAAGTGCTAGAAACTTTTCTTTTCCTCCCATTAAATGAAAATTTAAATTCTGTATTCTGTACTCTAATACTCTAAATTATGTACTCTAATTCTGTAGCTATTAGGAGGCTGGTCTGCTCCTCAGCTCACTATTAACCACAGGCGAGTTGGCAGGGTATTTTTCAAGCTCTGATGGAGGCAGTGCAACAAAATAAATAGCAATGCTAACAATAACAACGTATTAACAGTAACAAAATACCTGGTTAATAGAGTCAATTTTTGTTTAGAGGTAATATCTTTCAAATAATAATTACTAACTAGTACAAATGCTGTAATTTTTTCTGCCGTTTCTCCTGGTGACTGATGCCGTCTTATTGTTTCCTAGCTTTCCCCCAGGTATCCGTATCTGCCTATTATCACTTGTATTTAGACTGTGAGTGTTTTGGCTAGGGATCTTTTTGATCAATACTAATGTAAAATTTAGATCAGCTGAATCTTCATCCGTGGCTGTGACTGTTAGGCACTGGTCTAACGTAAGGAGTAATGAATGGTATTAAATCTGAATCTAAAAAGCTAATATGGTAAAATATTTGAAGCAGTTTCTATCTTTCTGTGCATTTTTGTAACACTGGTAGTGCTTTTTGGCTTTAGAATAAGGGCTCCCAGGGCATGCTGTGCCACTATTTAAGCAGAGTAGCTATGAGAGAAGTTTCGATCCCCCGTCTTTTCAGCATTCACATCTGTACCCAGACTGAACAAACCAAGGACATCTGGGGCATCATTTCTAGGTACTCCTTAATGTATCTTGACAGCTCCTGTTTCACTGAAATTCTAAAAAATATTAAGCCAGAGCAGTAGGTTACAAATGGGATGATGGCTCAGAGACTTGACCAGCTTTCTCTTTTAAACCACAGTGGCACAAGAACTCATTTGATGGAAACCTTTACTTGTCCAAATGGTGATGAGCTTGAAATACAGACTGTGCATTCCTTACATGTTTGGGACCTTCAGGAGACATGTGGCTTAAGTTCAAGCAAAGACGGCCTACCTTTTATCTCTGCTAGTTAACAGTTTGCATCCTGAGGGGCAGACTCATGCCACTCAGCTTTAGTTCTCAAAATAACTTGAAATTTCTTGATATCGGGGGGGAGATGACAAATAGCAATAGAGATAGTAGGGCAACTCTGCCAAATCAGATTATCTGTTATTCAGTTCAAAAGTAAGTCGACTGGAGCCAGAATCTGGTTAAACAGATGATAGGGTGGATGCCAGCCATCATCAAGAACATAAAATATTGAAAACAGCTGACACAGCTGGATTTGACAGGAGACATCTGTACCCTGCATTCTCCCTGTCTCTTCTCTTTCTGTTGCCCTGGTGGAAATCTCAGCGGCCTCAGGGAGTGAATATGATGCACAGACCACATAACCAAGAAGTAAAGGTCAAAGATCATAGTGAACTACTACCAAGAGTTGATAGCAGTGTCTGCCAGACTGTTTTTC